AAAATATCAAATATAATTTCCTGATACTAGTGTAGTAGAGAACAAACTTATTCATATACCTCTACATATACTAGACAATTTAAAATTCTAAAATTTAGGTCCAATATTCTTGGCCAACATTATTGATGAAAAAACAATATGGTTTAGCAAGTCAGTTCAGACTAAATTGCCAGTTCTGTTCCAAAATAAGTAATACCTCAGCATCTAATAAGTCTGGCAAGTCTGGATGTAAGTTGGTTACGGTTATGTTTGTTGTACACTCAAAGAATTAGGAATAGATCCTGGATTGAACTGTATCAAATACACCTGCAAAGTGGAGAAAAAGAAAAGTAAAGATATCGACAGAAAAAACTCAATTTTATTCAAGCAGCGCAGAAATCAACTTCATAGCCGAAGAATCCAAGGCACTGCGAAAGAAGAAAAACAAGAATTAGGCCCAGCCTATAAATCAGGTATTGGTACTGTATGAACTTGGAACAGAGTCTGGGGCTACTATAACTGGAAGTGAATCGATCACAGGGCTACTTCAGTTAATCAAGGGAAATGTACCAAAGGAAACAATAACTGTTTATGAACGAACAATCTCCTCATTCACCCCAAAGCCAATTTGTCCGAATAATGAATTTGACAGTAACTTAGAGTAGAATATTATTGTGTTTGATGTCGAGACAAACACAACAGGTAAAGCTGCCCAGTTGTGCCAGCTATCAGCTGTTGATAAGACCGTCCAAAAGTGTTTTTACGAGTATATTTTGCTTGACAAAGACATCGACAAATATGCCACACGGGTAAATAAACTGACAGTAAAATCAGTTGATGGCAAACGAACACTTTTTAAATATTATGTAGCTTTAAAAACACTTAGCTGTCAACGCAACTTCTCGATTTGTCAACTATATTCACAGCTGCATCGAATCCAGCAAGGCCGGACGAACACTAAGGTGTACGTACAGTTGTAATCGGCCATAATGCAAGGCGTTTGACATCCCGATATTGCTTCGTAACAGTGCCAGTGAAATTCACGACGAAATGCAAGATTTAGGGATTTGTTTTGGCAACAGTCTTCCATTGCTTGAGCACCTGATAAGATCAACATCCAGCGTTAACCCAATCAAATGGTCGAAGATGTTCGTCAAACCAGTCGTCGATCTACGAGAGTTTATTCAACAAGAAATTTGCTACACACGATGCCAAGGAGGATGTGATGGCGCTTCGAAGAATTTAGTTTTCCTCACCGATCAATCTGCCCGAGCAGGTTATCAGTTCGAAGTCAGTTCCGATCAGGCACCAATAACCAAAAGCATATGACAGAAAAGATTGCCGGCGGCGGATTATCGTACGACGATCTGATGCAACTGTTTGTCAAACACTGTAAAAAGGCACTGATCACTGTGTTATCAAAGCCCCAAAACATAAAAAAAAACTAGCCAAGAGTGACAAAAAGCCCCAGAATTTTCAGCCTCCATTATACAGCATTTCGAACGAATATAAACAGTTTGACTGATTGAGAAAATTTTATTATCAACAAAGTTGGTAAGTTAACCCACGCATTTCGTGTCGCGCAAATCGTGCTGATGTCGAGTCGCGCACGCGCAGATCGTGCTGATGTCGAGTCGATTTTTTAATTTAACAAATTTATTTGGATCAATGTATATATATATCATAAATATCTTATATACACTAGATAGCGCATCTAGTTATTCTGCAATTCAAAAATTGAAGCCGTGATTGCAGTCGTTCCCATGAAATGAGAAGATTCGTATATTTCCTATTTCTTAAACAGGAAACTTAAACATTAAGTAAAACCCATTCCAAATACATTTTTAAACTATTCAAATGATGAAAGTTATTGTTATTTTAAGCGTTTATTAGCGAGTGGGAACGACCAACATGGCCGCCATCTATTCAAATGGGGGTAACCGCTGGAATATTCTTGGCTTCAATTTTACTAATAGAGATGCGCTATATAATGTAGTAAGATATCTATGATATATATTCAGGGTGTATAAAAAAAAACTGAACAGATTTGAAATTGCTCTCAATTTCGCAAAACACCTATTTGTATCCGTTTTTTATACATATAGCTTCGTTGGGTATCTATAATGTAGAATAATGAAAAAAATTTCTCGAACTCAAATTTTGTGAACCAGGGGGGGTGTCTTTTCCAACAAACTAAAAATGGCTCGCGCACAAAATTTAAAAGCTGCAATCATATTTTGAGTTAATAGATGGAAAATTTGTTGGGTTTTTAATTACTGTACAAAATTTCAGACAATTTGGTTTAGTTTACGCCCCTTAACTATTCACGCAAAGTTAAATTTTTCCTAAAAATCAGCCATTTGCATGCTTAATTAATGCATTTGCCTAATTTGCATATGTCAGCAATATGCAAATTAGGTAAAGGCATTAATTAAGCATGCGAAAGGCTGATTTTTTTAGAACAAAATGAATAGTTAAACGACTTAAACTAAACCAAATTGTCTGCAATTTTGTACAGTAATTAAAAACCCGACAAATGTTCCATCTATTAACTCAAAATATCATTACATCTTTTAAATTTTGTGCGCGAGCCATTTTTAGTTTGTTGGAAAAGACACCCCCCCCCCTGGTTCACAAAATTTAAGTTCGAGATATTTTTTTCATTATTCTACATTACAAGTACCCAAAGAAGCTATATATATAAAAAACCGGATACAAATAGGTGTTTTGCGAAATTGAGAGCAATTTCAAATCTGTTCAGTTTTTTTTTATACACCCTGTATAACACATTTGAAAGCTAGATCCAAAACGGCAAGGTACGAACGGGACTCTTTGAAAAGTTCCCATGCAACTATGCAAGGCACCTTCCGGCGTCCAATTATATGATTATATGTACAGTTATATACTTATATACACATAGTATACATATACGCACGCTCACAGACAAAGCACACGCAGAAACAGGTTATACACACAGACAGGTTACACACAGACGCTTAAAGGCCATTTCCCACCGCAGTCGCCCCGCACGTGCGATTTTATCACGTTCGCGCCTGGTCGCGTCGAATTTAGGAGGCGAATTTCACGTGTTTCCTTCGGTTAATTTTTTTAAACTTTGTATTTTTGTTGTAAAAGACAAGTGGTAAAACGTATCAAAATTTCAAGAAATTCTACAAATAATTTTTTCTGTAACACACATTCATGATCATGAATATCTCGAAAACTTATTTATAAATTTCCTTTACATTTTGATATGTTACTCCTTTGTAGACTTATAAATCGAAAAAAAAATCAGAAAAATTAACCGAAGGAAAATAGAAATTGATTTATTGCGAAATTAGACAATAAAAGCGCAAAAGATAACATGACATAGTTTCCATGGCAACACTAACACTGTTCCTACTTGTCCATATATGGACAGTACAAAGCTTCTTAACTTCCCTGAAAATGATCATATTGCCCTACCTTAAATGTATTCAATATAAACATGGTCGGACGCGAAAGTTACCTAAAATAACTAGAATTTTAGAAAACTGTAGGGAGCCACCTTAAACTGTACCGCGGCTTTTGACTTCTTTATATACTCATCAGACCATGCATATTCTTTTGTATTTTGGAGGTTTTCTTCATTAAAAATTCAACCTATATCAATTCAATGAGAGGTCGTTGCAGTTGTGGGTCGAAATAACTAGGTGTAACATGCGCATTAATACGCTTTAAAATGTGGTTAAGCAAGCACAGTATATCATTTCACGTCCACAAGCGAAAGAGCTGATATTATTGTATAAATTCCCTGCACAACCAACTTAAAGTGAAACCTTGAAGGTGTTGTATGTTCCTAGTGAAGTGCCCAATAAAGTCGTTGCGGAGTCTCTTGGTAATCATGGGAAAGTGGAGATGATAACACGCAAAATGACGATGGAGCATGGCTTCCCCACGATTGAAACAGGAACAAGAGTCGCCAAGATGACTGACATTAAAACCGATATACCATGCACGAAAGTCAGGAATTGGACACTTCCCGGTGGAAATAAGACATAAAGGTCAACTCCCTCAATGTTTTCGTTGCCGTTTATTGGGCCATCTTGCGAATGAGTGTCCGAATGATGTAGTTTGTTTTAAGTGTGGTTTGTCTGGACACACTCGTGATAAGTGTTTCAAATCTGCTGTGTTGTTGTAATGTACTCAGGTGAATAAGATGTTCGTGTGATGTTACCCTGTGTGTGTATCCACACCGGGCAGGCTTGAAAAATATGCCTGGCCACGGCGGGATTCGAACCTACGACCTTTGGAATACTAGCCCAATGCTCTTCCAACTGAGCTACGCGGTCAGGTCGGTTCGAGTATGCGATATTTCGGAACTGAGTCTAGTCCCTTCGATATCAATATAATCTAATAATCATGAAATCTGCTGTGTTGTTGTAATGTACTCAGGTGAATAAGATGTTTGTGTGATGTTACTCTGAGCGTGCATCCACACCGGGCAGGCTTGAAGAATATGCCTGGCCACGGCGGGATTCGAACCTACGACCTTTGGAATACTAAGCCCAATGTTCTTCCAACTGAGCTACGCGGTCAGGTCGGTTCCAGAGGAGGAATGAGGGTCTTCCCGCAATGCATTGCGTCTCATTATTATTCACAATTACGATTTTCAACGAACGTTTGGCGAAAAGTTGTTGAAATACATTGCGATTTTGGCTTCGTATATCTCGTTTTTTCGAAGGTATGTTTTTATATTTGAATTATTTAAGAACCTAATTAAACTATTTTTGACTTATTTGGTACAGGAATTGCTTTCTAGTTATGCTAATTATGTCTTGTAATTATGCTTGTTCCGGGTCAGTGGACACGCCAATAAAATGACCTTGATATAATGCAGAAGCAAATTCACTTTTTTTTAGGAAAATAAAAACAAAACACGTCATCGAATTCGGGAAGATTCATTCTTTCTACTGTTACTTTAAAACATGAATTTTCTCCACTAAGCCGACGAGTAATCGCGGTTTGAAAATGGGGTACTTTTGCTATATTCTATCGCCGATGGCGGGAATAGACCGCCTGATAATCATCATAGCGCGAAGGAAATTATTGTACTATAAACACTATTTTCCATGATAATTTTGAAACATACGCATATATGATCGTACATATTTCCCCCAGGGAAATCTAATAATAAAAGACACAGAATTTCTCGTTTGAAAAATTCAACATCAAGCCGAACTTTGTTTCAGAGTCCAAAGCCAAGGTGTATTTAAAAGTACAAATGTTTTTACAAACATATTAAAAATACAGTATGATTACACAAAAACATTGTATATTTTTAATGAAACAATATGTTAATAATGGGGGCTTGAGTTATTATCATAGTGACAGTAACATTGTATTTTAATGCTTTTTTGCCTGGGAGAATTTCTGTCCATAGGCATATGAGGCTGGGGGGGGGGGTTGCAACCCCTCCAGTCAGTGTTTAGTTGGGCAGAATTCTGCTTTAAAAATTGGGCAATTGTTTTAAGATTGACTTTAAACAGTATTTCTGCTAGTCTGTATAGGAGATGTATTCCTTCTATTTTATACCTCTTGTTCACAAACTCATGACAATGTTGGGCAATTTCTATCCACCCGTACGCCAACATTATTTTTCAATGCTGGGCATTCCAGAAAACCTATAGTACACAAATTTCCTGGAGAAGCATGCACACAATCCTGGTAAAAATCCATGAGTTTCTTTGTTGTTGTCTAATTGTGCAGGCACTAACATTGCCCCTCTCACTTTTGCTGTTTGTTTTGTAGTTTCTTATCAGAAAGATTAAACGATTCCTCCAAAGAAATTCCCAGTTAAACTTCATAAATGGACATTTGAGGAAGATAAAGCATTCATTGAATTCATATCTGTTGCGGACAATCATGCATATGATTACGATTGAAGAGGTTTACCAATTATGTAATACCTCTAGATTGTTTTAATACATCATTAAGCTAGAGCAAAAGCATCACCTTTCATATACTTTATCATATAGCATCCATGTGTACTGGTGAAATGAATGTGTGCAATATTTTAAAATTGTGTGCATAAAATTTTATTTTCAAAAACATTTTAATAATCTTTAAGTACAGCAATATTATGTTAATATTTTTTCAATTTTAAAATAAATAAATTTTGTCAACATCAATTATGTAGTGTGTGATCTTTTTATTAATTTGTGATGAGCAAGGGAAGACTATACACTGAAAATCATGAAAACCATACATACCATAAACCTCTGAATATAAGCCCCCCTCCCCATGTATAAGCCCCCCCCCCTTGTGTAAGCCCATCAAAAATTGCTTACGAAAGAATATAAGCCCAGTGCTTTTAGGTGGAGGTTTACGGTAGATTGTCAAAAAACTGCAGAACTGATAAGATGGTGTCCATGGGATACAATACTTATGGTATAATCAGGGAAGTGACAAAAACACATGCAGTACAGGAAAACTGGGGTAGGGCCAAGACTGTACCATTAGAAGCTCCCCAGCTCTATCCTTACAAATAAAAGAAATATCAGTATTACACCAGACACCAATAAACAATTTTTCAGCTTCTGCTAAACATTTTCTTTCAATGTTTTTAACCCATTGAGTGTCAGCACTCTCCCCCTGATGAGTAAATAGTCTAGTATTAGACAGTAAAATAATCTGGCGTTAGGCAGAGTAAAATAATAGACAACTGGTTGATCATTTGAGCATAGATAACTGGTTGATTAGTATAAATCCTTGCAATGCATCACACAGTAGTCAATACATTTATATATAGCAGGGGTCTTCAGCCTTTTTTTTCGGCGACCCAAACCCAAGCTTCATAGGTGTCCCGCGACCCTGAACACTGCCAATAAAACTTTCGATAATTAAAAACATTATGGCTTTTCACTGAAAGCTTCCGAGTGTATGACGACGACTCTACTTCGGAAGACGACGTGCGCCGAAGGCGCGCCGAGTGGTGCTAAGCCATAATGTTTGAGTTACATGAAGTAAAAGGTATTATATCTAAAGCTTTACCAGTTTACCTGTTTACCATATTATTCTAGCAATCTAGCGCTTGAGTGCTTCATAATAATCGTGAAAAAACATTATAATCGCAAATTTCGCAAGGAAATATTCATATGTAAATATGTGCATCTTATCACTTGATCTCTCGTCTTGTAAAGTTTACTAGTGTAAGTTCGCGACCCTAGACAAGCATTGCGACCCAAGACAAGCCTTGCGACCTTCGAGGGTGTGCTAGCGACCCAATTTTGGGTCGCGACCCATGGTTTGAAGACCCCTGATATATAGTGTTGCGATAGTGTTGAATTTCCTCCATTTCATTCTTTACAACAATGCTACCACTGGGCGCTTCTTCCATCATTCGGTGTGTATGAATGTCTGTCAGGGCAAACAGGGTTTATTGGTAAATTAAAACAGTTATACAATCAGTTGGCTGATGTAATTCTATTGGTGGAAGTACACTATCCAGCTCATCATCTTGACTATCTGGGTCACATGGTGGGATTGCTTGGGATGTTGGTGATGTTGATATGTCAAACTCCCACAACATAACATTGCTATATTCTTTGTTTATACCTCCTTCCCGTAGATCATTAGGGTCGAAGAACTACATGATATAAAATAAAAATACGTTTAATACTGCTGTATTTATACAACATAGGAGCATTTTTATATTTCTATTTTTATATAAAAATCATCTCACCTTAAAAACACAACTAGAGTGAATTTGTACCAGTGCAGGACTACCGCAATCAGCGAACAATTTCATCAATTTTTATCCCGTTAACCACAGCTGGACTATTCTTCGAACTATCCATAGAACTATAAACATGAACCTCAC